TGAACTGCTGAACTACTGACCTTCCACAGCCTGCAGCTCAGCGTCTTAACCACTTGAGCCACCGCAGCTCAAGTGGTTAATTCAGTTAGCATTATTCAAAACAGCAAAAGCATTCAGTTAGCATTATTCAAAACAGCAAAAGCAAAACTATAATAGAAACTGTGTGTAACAATATTTTAAATCTAAAAGTACATTAAAATATCATAGTACTGGTTCACTGAGTGTCACTCTTTATATCCTCTTTAGACAGAAATTCTAATACTGGGCACCATTGTTCCAAAGAATTGAAAGTCTGCATTCCCAAATGAAAGATTTGATCTTCATTTTGGTGTAGTTTGGTCTAGTGGTTAAGAGCACGGACTCTAATCTGGGAGAACCACTCCTCCACCTGCAGCTGCTGGTGTAACCTTGGGTCAGTCACAAGTTATTTCAGAGCAGTTCTCAAGAGAGCTCTCTCAGCCCCACCTACCTCACAGAGTGTCTGTTGTGGGGAGTGGAAGGGAAAGGGATGGTAAGCCGCTCTGAAGCTCCTTTGGGTAGTGAAGTGTGGGGTATAGATCCAGTCTCTTATCTTCTTCTTCCCGTTACTAGGAAGTCCCACAGTTTACTATACCAAAGGGAGACTGTTGGGGGTGTGTGTACATCTTTCCATTTCTCCTATGTCCTTCATAGGAAAACAGTAAACTGACTACACTGAAAGCAGTCTGTTTCTTGCTGACTCATGGTGCTGAGGGGCTCAGTGGTAGAGCATCTGCTAGGTATGCGGAAGGCCCCCAGCATCTCCAGGTAAAGGGATCAGGTGGTAGGAGATGTGAAGGACCTCCACCTGAGACCCTGGAGAGCTGCTGCCAGTCTAAGCAGCCAGTACTGACCTTGATGAACCGAAGGGCTGATTCACTGCAAGGCAGCTTCATGCGTTCAGGTGAAACACCTCCCCAAAGCTGCTCTAAAAGGTAAAGGTTCCCTTGCTCGAAAGCCAGTCGAATCCGACTCTAGGGTTGCGGTGCTCCTCTCCGTTTCAAAGCCGAAGAGCCAGCGCTGTCCGAAGACGTTTCCGTGGTCATGTGGCCGGCATGACTAAACACCAAGGCGCACGGAACGCTGTTACCTTCCCACCGAAGTGGTACCTATTTATCTACTTGCAATTTCTTGCTTTCAAACTGCTAGGTTGGCTGCTCTAAAGCTGCCATAATGTGCACTGTTGGGCAATGCGCAACCTCTCTCCACCAAATAAAGCACAGGTGAAATGGGTTTCCAGGCCTCAACATGCACTGACGCTGTTTTATGAGTAAAAGGGGACGGATCCAAACTGATCGTTCCTCGTTCTTTGCAGCACTTGTTCATCATCTCATAAAGACTTCCTCTTGGCTGTCCAGCGAAAAGCCGTTTTGCACAATAACGTGGCAGAATATCTGAATGGGCCAGTTACGCATTAGCAACTGATAGTCAGATTGAAGACCAAAATGGGGGTCAGCACACTCGTATCCAATCTCCTCCTCTCCTCCTCCTCCTCCCTTATGTCACCTGCTCAGCTGGTAGCTGCAAACGCCTCCTTCTGCCACGTTTAAGTGGTAGTGTTGTCGTACAGCACAGGGGAAGCCAGAAGCTCCCTCCTCCAGCAAACTGCCACAGTGGAGGGAACAGAGAGCCGGTGTGGAATAGTGGTTAAAGTTTCGGACTTAGGACCTGGGAGACTCAGGTTCAAATCCCCACTCTGCCATGGAATTTTGCTGGGCCAGCCACACCCACTCTCAGCCTAACTACCTTGCAGGGTTGCTGGGAGGATAACATGGAGAAGGAGAATGATGTAAGCTGCTTTGGGTTCCCACTGGGAAGAATGTTGGGGTCTAAATGACATAAATAATGTATAGCAGAAGACGGAGGGGGGTCAGTTGGCTGGCTGGTGGATGGGAAGGAAAGAAGGAAGCAGGGAAAGGTGAGGATATGAGGGTTGCCAGGAGGAGGGAAAGAAGAAATAGAGTGGGGAAGGGAGAGGATACCAAGAAAAGTGAAGTGCCCCCTACAAGTCTTTGCAGGTTCCCTGCAGTGCAACTGGGCTAGGTCAGCTGGCACCACACAACTGGGCCATAGTTCTCCCAGAGAGAGTTTGCCAGGGGGAGGAAGGGAGAGAAAGCTGAAGACAGAGGAGCCGATATGGGTGGGATGGCTGATGGGTGGGAATTAGAGTACGAGGCACAAAAAGTGGAGAAGCAAAGGGGGCTTTCAGGAAAGGGAAAGAAGAAATAGTGAGGAAGGGAGTAATGAGATGCCTCCTGCAAGTCCTTGCGGGTTCCCACTTGTACAGACTAATGCATTACAAATGTGTATTCCCATTATTAGACAGCATAAAAAGTCCCATACGACATAACCAATAAATCTAATAAAAGTCAATGGACTTAGAAGGGCGTCACTCTGATCAGGATTGCACTGTAAGAATCTGGCATTCCTAAAAAAGCGTATATGACTGTTTCGGCGTTATTTACTATTAATACAGTGTCACCTAAGTTCATGGTTTTTAAAAGACATTTTGTTTGCTGTCAAGGACAAGATAGGAATAGTGAAGGAGAGGGAGAGAAAGATGTGAGCCAATGCAATTACAGATCTGTGTCTTGTTCTGTTTGTGTGTGTTTGTATAAAGCAAAGTAAGTGTTGGAGCCAATTCTTCTGAGCAAGGCTCTTTTTGTAGAAAAAGCCCAGCAGGAACTCATTAGCATAATAGGCCACACCCAACAGCAAGAACTCATTAGCATATTGGGCCACACCCCTGACAGCACAGCTCATTAGCACATTAGGCCACACCCCCATGTTACCAGAAGTGTGGTTATCCAGCCACACCCACCTTTTGCTTCTTATTCTGCTTACCTTGTTTGTTGTCAAAACCCAGGGCTTTTTTTGGAGCAGGAACTCCTTTGCATGTTAGGCCACACACCCCTAATGTAGCCAATCCTAATCAGTTTCTGCTGTTGGGTGTGGCCTATTATGCTAATGAGTTCCTGCTGGGCGTGGCCAACTTGGGAGCCAGCCGGAACTCCGTTCCTGTGCGTTCCTGCCCCAAAATAGCTCTGCTTCTGAGTGTGTGGAAAGGACCTTTGCCACCTCCCCCTTTCCAGTGCAGTCTTTTTGCTCCAACTGGAGTCTCAGGGGTCCCCCTGAGACAGTGTAGTAGTCTATGGGGGGTTGCAACAACAAAAATGAAAATCTGGCAGGAATCACGCACACGCTTGTGTGAATTTTTGCTCTGTATACCAAGTTTGCTTTGTGTACACAAAAGTGTTGCAAATTTCCCTCTTCTTTCTGCAGCCCCCCCCCCATATCTCATGTGGTTCCTGATGTTTCCCTGACCCACAGAAGCAGCTGGGGGGGGAGGCTGTACTTTGAAGGGGCAGGTGGCAAAAAAAAAACCACCCTTCTAGAAGCTTGCCGTGCTCTTGGAACGGTGGTGTCCAACTCTGTGCAGGTTGCTTTGTACTCACCAGGTTACCTTGGCCGAGTTCAGACTGGCGGTTTGGCCCGGCAGGGAAACGTTTCAGTAGCGGTTCAATAGCGGATTAAAGGGGCGGGTTCACACAGGCACATCTGTCAGGTGTCCCTCAGCCATACTCAAGCCGTCTTGTGCCGCTTCCCTCCCAAATTTAAAAGCTACCAGGTGAAAGTGGTAGCGGACCGTGTGTAGAGCGGGTTGATTCCAGTTCCCTGAGTGTGAGCGCAAGTCCCGCAGTAATTGAAACACCAACTTGGATAAATGAGTTTGACACCTCTGTACGATAGCCTCTATTGAATCATTTTAGCTTCTAGGGGAAATTCAGGCTTGATTTGATCTCGAACCCACTTATTTGTCTTTCCGGTGGTCCACCACATATCAAACAAATCAGTTTCCTTTCTGTCAGCGTTCTTCACTTTCACATCCTAAAAAGCCAAGATTTGAATCTTAAAATGTAGCGGGCACTTTTAAGGGAACATTTCAGGAACTGAAACATTTCAGCATCATAGGGCTCTCCCTTTGAGGCAACGATCCGAGCATTTCACACGAGCAAGGGGAGAAAAAGGGGAAGGGGAGACTGGAAATTGCTGGAGAGGGAAAGATGCATAGCTGTGATCATGTTTTCTTGTAACATAGACCGTTACAATTAACCTTCTAGATTAAATGGGCCAAAAAATGAAATGATCAGATGTTTGATGCAGAAATGATCAGAATGGATTACATTAGGTCAGTTTTAATTCTAAGAAGTACTTTTGGTTGTCTTAGCAATCAGTACTGCTTGACAAAAAATAAATGGGATTTTTAAGTGTTCACCTCCCCTGATATGCAAAGATACGCCTTCTAATCTATTTAAAAGGAACAATTAGGAAAGAGAAAAGAGAAAGGGGTGTTATTTTGCATGATTGCGGCTTGCACAAATGATTGAAAGTGAAAGAAAGATTCCTCTGTTAAGGGAGGAGTGGCTAGCAAAATTACAGGATACCTCTAGGAACCAAGCTGACATTGATACAAGAGAAGAGACAGAGAGTACATTTGAAAAACGATGTACATGTAAAACGATGTACATGAAAAATGATGTACATGAAAAACGAGTACATGAAAAACGATGGTCATTTTTGGAACTTTTAATGCATAACTAATTTGAGCGGTATCCTCCTGATCACTGGAAATTGCATCCCTTTAATTCTTTTTATTCTTGTTCTTTAATATTTTTAATTAATCAAACAAAGCACTGCATTAATAAAGGATTATTAAAACACATACTCTCCACACACACACCCCGGACACAAAAATTGGCAGGTTTCTTCCTTTCCTGTTAGAGTTTGCCCCCAAACACTTGTCTACCACCGCAAATTCTCGTCTTTCCACAGGTTGAGATGGCAAAGAAGGAGTTCAACAGCCACTCCGAAGACATCGACAAGATAAACCAGATCAGCAAAAACCTTCAATTCCAGCTGAACAAAATGAAGAGCTTTGAGGAGCCCCCCTTTGAGAACGAGGCTAATGTCATCGTGGACAGATGGCTGGACGTATGTAGAAAAGTAAACGATTGAGGAGCTTTGATATGTTACACATTATCATAATTGACTGTGACCGGCAAGCAATATTTCAGATAAATTAACTGCCGCAAACTGGGGAATCTCAAGGAAAACACAACATCATTTTTAAAAAATTCTAAGCAGAGCTTGAAAGAGCGACTTTGGGGCTTCAGGCTGGCTTATCTCTACAGCCTTCTCTTGTTATGTCAGACATGAGGTCTGGCGGGAGATAATTCGGTGGGGGGATATATAGGCGGGCAATATTGGCTTGCATTGTTTGGATTGTTTTGTCCTGGAAGCTGCTCTGTTGATGCAGTTCTTAGGAACGGGATGCATTCTTAAATGGCTGGTAGGAGATGTTGATTCTCTGTTGTGTCTGCTTGCATGTGATTTCTTCACTACTAAGACTAGTTGGGACATATTGGGAGGGGATAAGAGGGGATGTGCCAAACCAACTTGCCCGACCTGTCTTTTAGAAGTAGGAGAGTGCTCCGTTTGTCTTTGGAATGCTAATATTCAAAGCCGTATTCGGTAAGAAACTGCCTTTACCCAACGGGTACGACTGATTATCCCCTTCTTGTTTATCTCTCTGGTTTCATCTCAGCCTTTCTTGACACATGAAGTCGCTAAAGGCTTATGTTTTGCTTTCTCCCCCACATCTTTTTTTTGTTTCTGGAAACCACAAACCCACTTGTAGATCAACGAGAGGACGGAGAATTATTGTGATAATCTGGGAAGAGCACTGGCCTTGTGGGACAAGCTCCTTAATTTATCCGGCTCGATAGATCTGTGGATCAACTCGGAGCTGAAGAATGTGGAAGACCATCATCTGACTGAAGAAGAGTTAGCAGGATTAGAGGTAAGGTTGACAGAGATGATAGCTGTCAGTTGGTAACTATGGTCAACGAGTTCTAAACCAGTGAGAAATGTCTGGGGCAAGGCAAAGTGGGGATCTGAACCCAGACCTTCCCAGTCCCTAGTACAACTGCTACACCACACTGACTCTCAGGGAATGTGAAATCGATTGTTGTGTTTCTGGGTCTCTCCCATTTAAGCTGTAAGGTAGTCTGATAAGAAATGTGAATCCAAACAAATCGTTTGCCTGGCCGTAATTATTTAGGTCGTTCTGCAGATAAATTGTGAGCTTGTTGTCTGTCTTGAATCGTTTGTGGCTTCACTGGTGATTGCCTCTCC